ATATAAATAAAATATAAATACATAGTTTATTCAGATTGTACTACAAATAGAAGTTACTAAGTTAAGTTTTTACTAGTAATATAATTACCGGTCTGTAATTCTAATATGTAATACGTAAATAAAGAGGTATAGTCGTATAACATAAAGTTCATATACCTTTTTTTTATGGAATAGGAGGGGGCAAACGAGCAGACGGGTCACCTGATGGAAAGCGACTACCGCCGCCCATGAACGCCTGCAACTCAGGAGTCACAAGCGAGCTGCCAGCCTTTGAGGAAGGAGAACCCTTTTTTCTTGAAGGTCGTATCGGTCCGGAAATACCGCAGCCGATAACTTGTATATAATATCATGTTATCAAAAATGTCAATGAATGTAACAGCTAACTAGCTAGCTAGCTTTATCAATTCACGTGCAAAGTACCCAATAAATACTAAGAAATAACAAATTTATTCGTTACTCCGTTTTAGACCACAATTACATGTGAATAGCAACGCCGACTAAAACAGCATTTTATTTAAAATACGAAATAAATAATCAATTACGACCAAAAAACTGACTAATATGTTTCTACTTGTTATTGCTTACAAAATTATAAATGAGGCAGAAGTCGGCCCTGCCTCGATGAATATATGTTTTAGAGATGTTACATGCAATAAAATCAATCAACAAACGAAGCGTGAGTTATAGGTACCATAAAATCTTACTTTCTTTAGAAATCGTGGTTACACTAAGTACGTCTTACTAGTACTACCTTCGGCCACCTGATGGTAAGTACTGGTTAACATGGACACCTGGCACCTCAATTGTCACAAGTGCGCTGCCGGTAAGTGCGTTACGGGCTTTTGAGGTGGGAATATAGTCTTTTATTATGTTATTTTTATCTCCTTTGACATTCAAACTTAAAAGTGACTTTTAAAAGTCCGTAGCACACACCTGTTTATTTCAGTACCTTATTGCTTACCGACGCTAGATAACACATTTTATTTTACTTTCAAGTGCTCAATGTAAATATAAGATATGTCTTATGTTGATTTTTTATAGATTAAACACTGATCGAGCCCGCTTACGGTGTTTAGAGTTCGATACCCCCGAAGTTTAATCAAATATTTAATCTTATTCAATTCTGGAAGTTATATTTTTATGAAACAGTTCTTAGAAAAGTAAACTTAAGTATTGTTTGCTGCGTCACAACAAAGCGGGTCCGTTAAGTAAAGGGGTGGAACGAAACCGGAAAAATCGGCTACCCTACCGTGTAGCAAAACCTAAGATTGGATATCTTTGAGGGAAGCCCGTGGGTTCCACCGGGGTACGACGTGGATAGGCTTGGCGTCAATTCGGGGGGACCTTGAAATCACATGGTCTGGTGTCAGCCTCAGTGTACGGCGCCGTTGGGGTGGTCCTCCGGATTTCCAAAAAGAGTCGTTAATTATTATACCCATAACACTGGAATATAATTGATCCTACTTCGGAAATCCTGTATCTGATCCGCAAGGAACCAACGCAAGCTCAGACCTGGGGGTGAAGGGTGAGGCCATCTGCCACCCAAGTAGAAGCAGGCTGGGTTGGTGGAGCGACGCGCCCTTGAGCGCGCGCGCCTTATAGGGAGTAGAATGGGAACTTTGTGGTTCCCACAAACGAGGGAGTCATCTACAAGCCGTTCATAGCCGGGGGTCCATCGATGTACACAAGATTTCTAACCTAGGGTACACCTGGGTCCCCGGCTACTGATACCCAGACGGCTTGTGGTTTTTAGTCTGTTCAAGTCCGACATAACCACCGGTGGATGGTTCCGATCCGAGGGGATTTCCGCACAGAAAGAAAAAAGGTGTAGAACTTTTAATCAAAATAGTGTAGTAATAGGTTTAAAATGAAAGCGAAAACACAGGGGACCAGTACTCATTTCTGATGGCCTGTTATGGTACTGAGAGTCTGTACAGCGACAGTGAAAGTTGTATTTGTCGATATAAGATGTTTAAACTTATAGAAAATATTATCATTCTCAAAAAAAGGTCTCCATATTGTTATATTGTTCTCCGGATTAATGTCAATTTGTTTCTAGCTATTTTCTTATTTGTGTACTTTGCATGGCAATGCAATTATTTTGTTAAGGTAGAGTTTATTTTTCTCTAGGAATAATCAGTTCATTAGTTATTTGACATTTATCATAATCCTAAGTTGCCTAGACTATTATAATAATTTTCTAATTACTAGTCTTTCGTAATTTCACCTGCGTGTCAGGTCACTGTACTGCTCTTAAGGCTCGTAGCGTGATGGTACGTAACTCATAACCTTCCTCAATATAATACTCTATCTCATTACAAAACCATTATTCATAGCCGATTGAGAGTTTGACATAATAATAAAAACAAAATCACACTTCGGCTTCATTATATTATTCAGGGCGACACATAACATGTGAAGTTGTATCTACTAAATATGTATTTCAATTTTATTTATAGGCTTACTTTTCCTATCACAGTTTAAGTATTGTATTACGTGTTGCATTTTATGTCAAAGAAGTACCTATTGAACAGTAAAAATATTGATATATTGTCTTGAAATTCAAGATCATTGCCATCATACCAACGTCGCTTTAGGTATACTATATATTTATTTAGTGACACAGAATTATATGAAAAACTGTATTTACTTATTTAAAATGTTTATTATCGATATTACGTGAAAAGCAAATATTAACTTAGTTGACGCTACTTGCCGACAAAATATGAGCTTAACAACGTGGGTGAAATTAACGGTTTACTTTTCACACAAAAACCCAACATTAGGGTGTATATCATCAGCATACTGCGTCGTCTTAAAAGAATTTATAGCCGTGCCTGTCATAAAAAAGATACGTGATAGAAAAATAAAAGGACGACTCTGGTGGGTCGATCGTATCATACTACTTCATATCAACGTATCCTTGATCCTTGCGTCACCGTATCAACAAAGCCGTGCCCACGCGCTAATGTATTCAACGCGGCGATTGATGAAGTATAAAATTTCTTAGTACCGTCTCACTCACAATGGAATTATGATAATTTATCGGTTGGCTTGTGCCGGCCGAGTGTGTGGGAACGCGCGCGGCACGGGCTTTCCCACGCGGCCGTGCTACGACGAAGAACGTCTCATTGGCTGTATACAGAAGCGTCGCTTACGTCGTTATCCGATCGCGTGTCAAACGAGCTCTAATGTCGACAGGTCCTAAGTACGAAGCGACTCGCACCGAACAACGTTCTCGCCTATTCTTAAGGCGCTGTTGATACATAAGACGTTTTAGCGTCTAGCTACCTAAGACAGAATTGGAGTAAGTAGCGTCACGCGGCTTCGACCGCACAATGGGTCGGTATCAAGTCGACTAGCGGTGCTGGGAACAAACTGACACCTTTGCAAGGTGATAGTCAATGTTATTGTTTTGACTGACTAATTAGGACCATGTTTTTATCGCTCAAGGATGTGTTTATGATAAATATTCACTTCACATTGTATTATCAGATTAGAAATACATTTATTTTCAGATGAATCATTATATTATATTAACTTAAAGCTAACTTATTATTATTAATTTAAAGCTCTCTTTTTTTCTTACGTAGATGGCACAATAATCAAAAATATTTAATGTGATAAACTTTTAATGTTACTACTTAGTTCACAGTAGGTAACAATTACAAATATGTATTTTGAAACTTACAATTTGTGTGGCTGACTTGCGTATGACTTGTCGTAAAATTCCGGTAGGTAGCGGCAACATTTTCCAAAGTAGGTCACAAATAATAAATAATTAATAACAGCGGCAAGCAGTAAAAAGTGCGACGGTAATAATTTCTATTCGTCAGTCTGTCTGTGTGACCGGCGGAGGCGATAACACGCCTCGTGTCGCCACGAACCTGGGCTCGCACCGCCAATCATATAGGGTTGCCACCTACGACATTTATTAAAATATAACATTCGTAATAAATATTACAAAACTAGATTTAGTATATACAAATAAGCTATCTAGACAAAATGTGTAAACAAGTTAAAATAAAAAGTCAAATAAAAAATGCATACATATCATTTTTTAAGCTATTCTTTTTAAAATATTTAATGTAGTCATCATCATCATCATCAACAGCCTTAAATAGCCATCACCTGGACATAGGCCTCACCATTTAATGTAATACCACGAGTCATAGACAAAATTAAAGAATAATGGTCGTGTGACGTCACTACACATTATTGGCACGAAAATCAAGGGGAGCGTCTTGCCATGCGTCTGCTCAGGTTTGGTAAGGAGGGTGCGCGTGGGAACGCGTGCTAGCCAGGTGCCATCATCTGAGACCCTCAGTAACTTTTGGTGAACAGCTGTTAGATCTACATGGTACTGATATAGAAAAATAATACGAATTTAATCACTTTTACAACTTAATATCCTTGATAAATTTAAATGATGAAATGAAATGATAATACGAAATAAAATTATATTTATTTCTGCAAGTAAATCTTTTTAGATATATTTACAATTCGGAAATTTACAAAAAAATAATCATTTAATTCTCTAGTGATAGGTATACATATCCCGTATAGATAAACATCATATTTATCTACATATTTATTATTACTATTCAATTAAATATCTGACAAGCGTGTGTTTAGTTGAGGAGATGATAAAGATGGTGATAATGTTTCCAAATAATGAACTTTTAATTACTTTCTTTTCTAATCTCACTTCTGCTCTTTTAATTTATCAATTATACCTCATCGTTTTCGATAGTATCATAAACGTTTAAATGACTACAAAAAAAGCTTTTAGATTAATTTTACATATAATACTAAAAGCTAATAAATGTAAAGATTTCTCGTTATAGCGTATTCAGAAAATAAAAATTAACAAACATTTTCCTTTAGTGCCATCCCTACTTTTATCACGGACGTTTTGCCACAATCGGTGTAGGGCGCATAAAAGCGATGCGACGAGCGGCGCGCGCGCCATTCGCTCATAGACCGTCGCGCGCGCACCAATGATTCTTCCCGCCCGTACAATATCGCCGCACGGCGCTTTCCACCCGCCGGCGCACGCGCAGCCAGACGAGGAACCCGTCTCCCGCACATACCAATACAGAAAAGTCATGAAACCAATGCTTGAAAGAAAACGCAGAGCTCGTATTAATCGCTGCCTCGATGAACTCAAAGATCTCATGGTTACCGCCCTCCAAGCAGAAGGGGAAAACGTTTCCAAACTTGAAAAAGCAGACATCCTGGAACTCACTGTCCGACACCTCCATAGCCTTAAGAGACGAGGGCAGTTAGTGCTGAAACCAGAAATGTCTTACGCTGAGCGTTTTCGTGCTGGATTTACTCAGTGTGCTACGGAAGTGTCACAGTTCATTGCAAATGCTACGTTAGCTGCGAACGCAATGCAGCGACAGGGTCCTGTGGATCCTCAGGCTGGCGCGAGGTTGCTGCAGCATTTGAGCAATTGTATCAGAAGATTGGAGAACCCCCAAGTGGTGCAGCCTCAGCCAGTTGTGCCGAACGGTGTTGCAAGGCCAACGCCGATGCAGCCAATTGCTGCTGGACCTATTCCCCAGCAGGCTCCTATACATAGGACAGTACTTCCAGACCGAGGAGTCAAAAGGCTGGCAGAACCGATGGATTCAGAAGCGATGGTAGCAAAGCGTGCGTACGCGCCGCCTTCTCCGCCGCACAGCCCCGCCTCCGAGACAGACTCCGCCCAGTCGATGTGGCGGCCGTGGTGACCCTGCTCATCATGATGCATGCTTGACCGTGTGATTGTAAATCTCAAATCATATGTCCTCCAAGTCGAGACTGTGGGAAGACAAATGATGCATTAAGATTTTTTCTTGATGTCTTTGGGTGTTGAAAAATGCGATAGTGTACAAATTTTAATACAATGTGAGAAAGTACCGTGTGATAATCAATATTGTTGTTTGTTTCTATTAACGTTCCTAGAACTGATGTGTGTTAACGAAGTATGGATTGTCCTACTCGCTTTGCTTGTTGAAGTTGTGTTTTTATTAATTTAATAAATTAAGAGTTTTGTTCAATATCTGTTATTTTTATATTCCTTACTTCAACGTCTTCCACGTAAGCCTTTACAATAAGTACCGTAGTGTATATAGCACCTAAGAATTCTGTGATAAATAGTTTCTTGGTAGGAATTTTTAGGGTATGAGTAGATTGAATGTATGATAAATGAATTATAGTAAAGACAATAAACAAATTTTGTAATAATATTTGTTTTAATAACATCCTATATATCTAAGAACATTAAGTATCAGACGTACAATCATTTCCATTTTACTTATTATTTGGAAACTAATAAAAAACTTTCAAACTTTTATGTTTTATGGTACAGGATATTTTACGTCCTTTATTAGGATGCTATTTACCTATAATTGTTTCGCGCCAATAGACATTTTAATAGCAATAAACTAGTAACAATGGTAGTAAAACAAATACATTGCTCTCAGGTTTATCTTCAACCGATTGTGAAATTTCACATTGCATTATCATAAATTAAAAACTTAATTGTTTGACGTTGCACTACTACACGCAATAATCACTTCCTTTGAAGCGGCAATTGCATGAGAAAACTTTTTATACCAGTCAAAATATTTCTTAAAACACTTCTTTTAAAATTCAAATTGTCTTACACAGATCTTATTGCACTTCATGTACATAATGAAATCACTTAAGTGATGTTTAATGAAATTTTCAAGTAAATATCTTTGTATTGTATGTCGTTCTCACGGTGTTCGACGACCGTACCCGTCTCGTCATTACTCGAGTAGCTTACACATTTGTAATAATTTATTGGCAAGATTTCAAAGCAACCGTAAGCAGAATTGACTTAAAAGTTTTACTTTTGAATTTTACGAAAAAAATAGTAACCAATTTTAATTACATAAATATAAATCATCTCTCATGCTATATTGACTAGTTCAGATAAACAATGATGATGGTTTTCGAATGGATTAAGTTTTTTTTTTTTACAATGTCTCTATTCGCCAAAAGTTTTTTAACAGTTTGTAGGCGTTCCGCTCAATTCATAATATACTTAGTACTTAAATGCTACCTTAAATTACTACTACAACGGTGTACTAACTGAACTGAAAGATTTGTCAAATCCTGCCTAGGCGTATAGATATACAGGATCGATAAAAGAAAACCTACCTAACTAACCTACCACTCTAAAGGCTTAGAGTTACGCTCTCACAACCTTAAAGATTCAGTACTTAAAGCTCACAACCCTTAGTCATCAGGAGTTTTATCTATGTCACTGTCCGCGTAGTTAAAAAGTAGTATATAGTATATCAAATCAGTATATGTACAGGATAATTCAGTATATATATGTATATGTAGTGATTCACCCTGACGCGTCGTATACGCGCATAGTATAGGAAAGAGAGTAATATGTCCTTTAAAGGTTTGCATTTTAGGTCCTTTTATGGTGAGCTTTAGTTTAGAGATATTTTAAATGTGGTATTAGTGGTTAGTGTTAGAGTTCATTGCAAAATAGGCCTAAGCAGTATGAGTGAAATATTGATCGAAAGGTAGGAATGATGTCAAAGATAATTCGTTCCGTGTTTAACGGACATTGATAACTCTAAAGAGTATAAAGGGTAATAAACAATGTGGGTAAAGTCTATAAAGATTTCTTTGAGTAATATTAAATCGCGTGATTGAAGGTAACGGTATCAAAATAATGTGCCACGTTTTTGTGCTAATTCGTTATGTACCAACAAAAAGACAGAACTAATTTGATTGCCGGATAAAATTTAAAACTAATTTTACGTTCACGTCAAAAACACAAAGCATTTAAAGCCTTAGCTTTTTCTATAAGAGATTTTTATTGTTTTTCTTCATTTTGTTTGTACTATTAGGAAGGGAACTATTAAACTATTAGAATATCAGAGTACCTCAAAAGTACACCAAAATTCTTGCTAACATGCTTCACTTTGATGATGATGCGAGTGTTACCCCCTTTTTGACCCTATTTAATTCTATCCTCAATTTCTGTTACCCTTGTTATCTGAATTACGTAAACAGCTCAATTATTTAATAAAAGTAAACCATGGATGGTTTGACTAACCTAATTTTCCCTCAAGAATACCCAATAATCACCACCTACGACGATCATGTGAAAATCCATCTCAATTATTTATGAACCCAAGAGGTTGCTGATTAATGACTTACAAAACGGGATTCTCCAAAACGTTCACTACCATTTTAGAAGAAGCGGTTACGGGCTTCGAATGCGCATGAGCATAGGAATTAGTTCTGTACAACGTAATTGGAACATTCGGAACGCGCTTGCGTGAGCGCAACCGTGGGAAACGCCCGGTGAAAATACTACGGCCAGCCGCAATTTGGGATTTAGTTACGGCAGTATCTAAGATTTTTTGTATCAAATGATAAACTGAGACTTGATGTGTAAGTAACACTTTAAATTAGTTTCAGTAAAGAAGTAAGAGGTTATATTTTGAAGCTTTTTTGCTAGAAAGATGAGAAATACCAAGTGAAAAAAGGATCTTGATTGAACCAAACACATAGTTTGAGACCAGAACTAGTTTTTGTTCGGTAGATTGAAAAAAAACGGAGTAAACATATATTTCTGAAATTATCATTGTAAAAACGTTTGCAAAGAAACTCAGTTAAAAATTTGTAAATATTATTATAACCTTTTTTTTTTTCCGTGCGGAAATCCCCTCGGATACCACCGGTGGTGGTCGGTGGCATGTCGGACTCGAACCGACTAAAACCGCACGCCGTCGCCGGGTACTAATAGCCGGGGAACCAGGTATACCCTAGAAAGGAAGTCCCTGGTGCCCCGACATACCTCGGGTCATCTACAGACGAGTAGACGACCCCCCCCGTGTGGGAACCCCATGTTCCCTGTGCTCCCTGGAAGCGAGCGCGCTTCGCAACGCGCTCGCCGCCACCCCGGCCTGCTTCTGCTAGGGTGACAGATGGCCTCACCTGTCACCCCCAGGCCTGAGCTTATGGAGGACGGAGGTCGTTCTGCGACCTCCGGCGCCTGAGTCGATCCTGGCCATCGCAGTGGTGGCACTCAGGCGTTGGCTCCTTGCGGATCAGACACAGGTGATCTCCGAAACATCCCTTCCCAGTGATCATCTGCGTCAATCGGTATGAGAGGGTCCCGTGACGCCTCTCGAGCCAATCCTCCATAACGGGTCTTACCGCCGCGATGACGGCGTGCCCGGCGCTCGGTTGCCCGAGTCGTTCCCTCCACTCCCCTATGATGACCTAGCGGAGTTGGGATTTCCGGTCATCGATTTCTCGAATCTCGGGGCATCGACCCAACTCCTGCGCCTCCTTACGCCACTGATACAGAGCCGCAAGGGCTCTCGCCTCCAGGTCCCACGGTGGAGTTCCGGCCAGGAGACTCGCCGCCTCAAAGGAGATCGAGCGGTACCCCCTTATGATCCTGATGGCCAGCATTCGCTGCGGTCGTCGCAGTATCGCGACGTTGCTGGCCTTCAGGGCCCCCGCCCATACTGGGCACCCGTAAAGGGCCATGGACCGCACAACCCCCGAGTAGAGTCTCCTGCAGGAGTCATCGGGTCCCTTCATGTTGGGCAGCAGCCGCGCCAACGCACGCGCTGCCCCAACCAACTTGGGGACCAGACCTCGGAAATGATATCCGAGAATATTATTATAACCTAAGATAGACTTTAGTGCCTGTGTCAGCTGACGTCACATTACGTCACGTTATTCTTGTAACCATGAATCCGAAACTTATGAATAAGTTAAGTTCACTAGGTACAGTAAAGTTATGTTATGTTTACTGTAAGAGATCTCTTACTTTCCACTAAAAAAATCATGTTGAATAAATATAACAGTAGGCACATATCACTAGCATTGTTGCTATGCATTCAAATTCAGCTGGATGCTGGTGTGAGGAGTGAGTACGTATGATCGCTAATCTGACCTTAAACAGAACACTACCGCTAGTAGATATTATAAAGCCTAAGAAAAGTAAGAGTAACTAGTTACTTTACTTTTTAATCTACTAGATTAACAAGCTTGAGATAAGAGGTTAGAAAATATTACAATTAAAAAAAACGGATTTTATATTATAAGTAGCACATATACCTTGCGAGAGCTTTCCTTCTTTTTTTTTTGTTTTTTTTTTTTTTTGTTTTAAAAAGACAACTTTTTACTACTTTTTAAAAAGACAAACAGACTTTAAAAAGACTTCGGCACAAATGCTTACAGGAAACCGGTGTTAAGGTCATAGCAATGAGCTATCCCAATGAGCCACCCCTCACCCGACCAGTACCGCCTCACCTAGAGCGGGGTGTATTCTTTGTATGTACTATGGGTGTAAGCTCACTACATCAACTCCAGAGCGCCTCGCCCGCGAGTTGACCACGCGCGGACGGCGAGTGGACCGCTCGGTGACCGCATGCTGTTCACCGGTTGTTTCCTTAGCGAGGACGATGCAAGGGCGGCACACCGCTCCCACTCAAACGTGTTTGTTGTATCGTTCTCTGGTTAACAACGCAGCGTCCACCCGTGAACCACCCGTCGACAACGAGTGTATACCGAGTGAGTGGGTGGTGCCGTCGGGTGTCGGGTTGGTGTAATAAGCTATAACCTTGAAGCAATTCAATCGTTGCTTTGCACCCATACCTCTCTCCCCCTAAATCCGGTGGGGGAGGGCACAAAGGCTGCAACGCACTTGTGACTCTTGAGTTGCAGGCGTTCATCG